GTGAGGTATGATCAGAAAGTTCTGGGAACTGACCTCAACTGATTTATATTAGGCTGATCCGTCTTCTTGAGTGTTGTCTTTTTGTGTATCTTAAGCCCATTTTCAAAAATGTAATTAGTTATAGATTGCTCCCTGGATGTCCCATTCTGTTCCCTTGCACTTATTTTGGGTCAGATATGTCTGTGTAGTTAAAAAATAGTAACAGTAACAGTTATATAGTAACTGTTAAGTCTAATATACCCTAGTAAGCTATACTACTTTTTCCTTTGGGAAGATACCATCTGTGCAGTGTGCAATTCTGTTGAAGAAATATGTTGAATCTATTTAATTATTCTTGAAAAATAATTTATTTCTGTGCATTTTCCCCCCTGCATCAAATTAAATTTGATTATATCAATTAAGCATCATGAGGTGGAGGGTGGCTCCCTATTTTTTTTGCTGGGAGTTTGCAACCCTATTAGTTAGGTTGCTTAATATTTCTGCTAAGTACTCTTTAAAATACCAGAATAGGGAGGATGGAGCAGGTTTAAGTTTATTAGATTGATTGGTTTTGCTGAACTATGAAATATTTTGGGTGCAGTGTATTTTTTACATACAGGTATAACAGAATAGCTTTAGTGTTGTTATTTATTTAAACTTGAGTATAAACTTATACAAAATGCAGCAAGATATTAAAAAAAACGTTTTGTTGATTAAAAAACACTATATCGGATTCATATCGGTATCGGCAGATATCCAAATTTATGATATCGGTATCGGTATCGGACATAAAAAAGTGGTATCGTGCCATCTCTAATTTTTAGGCAATCCTGATATTAATGAATCTCAGTAGTCCAGTCTAGAATTAATAAATGCATTAACTAATTCTTCCATATCAGTCTGAGACAGGATTTCTCATTTTTGAGATACTGCACTAATGCAAGAAAACAGTCATACATATTTGTTTAATATGTGCATTGAGGGACATGACTCCAAGTTTCCTTACAGTGTCACTGGAGGTCAAAATAAAGCCATCCAGAATGGTTTGACGCCACGTTTCTAAGATTGCACATGAAAGGGATGGGACTTCCAGGAAGTGATCTAATAACAGCAGCAGTAGTCATAGTGGTGCATAAATGCATGATAAGATTATCTTCAACAGTGGATGGTAAACATTTAAATTAGGTAATCACCAGTGTACTGCACTTATATTTTTTGGGACTAAAAAAGTCATAAACAAACTAATTGTACTTCAACTTGAGTGAGGTTAGAAAACTACAGCAAACTAGCTGTCTTATAAAATTAAAATTATAAGTAATATTAGATTTCATTCACTCATACAGGTAAAGGAAAGATTTTGTTTGGGTCTTTTCTTGTTTATAACTCAAAAATAGTCATATAGCGTGTCTGTTGACTTGTTCTCAGGACAGTCAGAGGAGAAGAGCAGCAGTGAGGAGTCTGGACCCTCGGGCTATTACTACCAAGATGTTTGGCGAGGACTAGGTGGCACAAAAATTCGTCAGTTCAACACTTCCTCGGCCATCACTCAGTGCCTGAAAGGCAAGGTGATTCATATGTATGGAGACTCCACCATTAGGCAGTGGTTTGAACACCTTACAGCAACACTACCAGGTAACTACCCCACAACCCTTTCAGGCACCCCTCTGATTTTCTTTAGACACCTTATCACACGCATTATTTCCTCTGTAATACTTTCAGATCTCAAGGAGTTTGACCTGAATAGTGAGAAACAAGCTGGACCTTTCATGGCCCTGAACTTTACACACAACATCATGGTGAAGTACCGCTGCCACGGTCCTCCTCTCCGGAGCACTACTGTCCCAGCCATTGAGATGCATTATATTGCCAACGAGTTAGACAACATGGTTGGAGGCAGCAAAACCGTTGTAGTACTTGGAATCTGGGCACACTTTGCCACTTTTCCCTTGGAGTTCTACATCCGGCGGATGATGTCCATCCGCAGGGCAGTGGTGCGGCTGCTGTCCAGGGCTCCAGACACACTGGTGGTTATTCGGACCGGAAACCCCAAATCTTTAACATGTTTCCTTCACTCATCTACTAACAGTGACTGGTACACGCTGCAGCAACTCAAAGTGCTCAAGGCCATATTCAAAGGACTGAATGTCCATCTGGTGAATGCCTGGGAGATGGTCATTGCCCACCACCTGCCCCAAGAACTCCACCCACAACCTCCCATTATTAAGAACATGATTAATGTTCTCCTGTCGTACATATGCCCTGAAAAGGATGGTTAGATGTGTGTGTGTGTGTGTGTGTGTGTGGGGGGGGGGGGGGGGGGGGGGGGGGGGGGGGTTTAGCAGTCTATGCACACACATTTATTTACCATCTATTTGAACTAAATTAACTACAGTAAGCAGCAAATGTAACTATTATAAATGTTCATAGTAGCCCCAGAGAAAGCTTGTAACCATCTTAATCAGCCTCATTGGTTCCACTCTCTGCATACAGTACATTTAATCCATTTTTCATTTTTAATAATAGTCCCTATTTGATTTGTTAAATAATGTTGTTTCCCACTGCATCACCTAAGAAACCAAAGCTGATTTGTACTTTAAACATGGTCAGCATAAACACAGGAAGTTAAAGGGACAAAAACAAAGGTTAGCACAAAATTTCACTCCCAGCGTGAAATGCCTTTCAGGTTTCATCTGAATCTGTAAATACTGTATTTAGGGGCAGTTATGTTTTGGGACATGTTTACATGCATCTGTGTTATTCTGTCTGTAAACATGGTTTTGAATTAATTCTGATAAAACTACGTAGGCGTGTAGGATTGGGATTGTGTTAACAATCCATTAGAATTTGGTTTATACATATTTAAGGTGAACTCGAGATGTTTTACTGTATATCGTCACAGAAAGAGAATGAGCCGCCTAGTTAGCAGTGGTAAATGGTAAATAGCCTGTATTTATATAGCACTTTACTAGTCCCTAAGGACCCCAAAGCGCTTTACACATCCAGTCATCCACCCATTCACACACACATTCACACACTGGT